TCGATAGTACGGAAGACACCTCGCCGCATGCGCAAGTGTCAGTATGGGGACCACCCACCTAATACCAAAAAATGTTTTAGTTTGTCAACTAGCAAAATAAAACCGTATGAAGTCTACAGTAATGACAACTGTAACAAACCTGTAACCGTACGCCTCGTCAGGTGTAAGGAGCGGTGGAGCATCGTACGGCTGGTACTGGTTGTCCCGGTCCTACTGCCCATGACAATGTACAGCAGGCCTACCTGGTATGCCTACATGGATATGCTCCCAAGCCCATAATTGTTACACAAAAATACAAAACTAGGTTAAGTATAAACTAGGTAAGTAATAGACAAAATAGATTATTGATAATTAGGTGAGTTACCTAAAGCACAATCAAAGGACCTCCGATCTCGCCAGAACCGCGGTGGGATGCTCTACACAGCTGGCAATACAACGTCGCCAAACAGGCACTACCCCAGCTATAGCCACGGATATGATCCCAGTCGTGGTCTAACAGTTGTAGGTAAATAAGCTGCAGATGGCTCCCATTCTTGTTGTCGAACAACACGCCCGAGATGAGCAGGAACAAGTATGCCCGAGCGTGTCTCTGAACTGTGGCATCATCAGCGTCCGCAGGCAGCACACGGAAAGTCTCGCGTATCCAGCCGGTCCTCAACCCAGAACCCCTGATCTCGTCGGGACCTGGCTGAACCCCAAGAACCCGAGCTACCAAACCAACGGGGTTGACTAACGTATGTCCTTTCACCGCAGTCCCATGTATAGGAAGGCGCGCGAGTATCGCGACGTCCCGCAACGTAACGGTTGCCTCCCCAACCGATAGGTGGAAGGAGTGCGTCTCCTGTCTCCACCTCTCCGCGAGCGCAGTGATAAGCGCTCGATCGATCTCCCTGAACGCCATCCTATGAATACCACCCAAGCCATCCAACTCGACGTACGCAATAACGCGTTGATCGACAACCCAGTCCGCCATAACCCTGGTAGTGTAGTGCCTGTAAACCAGCATCCTCACCGGTTCAAGCTGATAAAAAACCGTACGAACGTAATTAATATCAGATAGTATATCAATTTAAGATGCATAAGTACATGAACTGATGAATGAAATATTACCGACTGGTCCTATATGTCAACGCTCCGATGTGTGTCCTGGAAGGGTCAACAGGTCCGGGTGTCCTATCTTTTCTGTCCATGTAACCTGTTCATTAACAATGTTATACACCAATTATCAACACAATTACTAGATCATCAATTAAACATGAGCTAGACGAGTAAAATGCAACGACGAAAAATTTCAAATGACAACGTTCAAAATAGAAATGATCCAAATGTTACAAATGTTACAGACGTTACAAAATTAGATACAAAATAAATCTACTATTTAATTACATCAAATTACAGATACAAACTTAGGTCCCGGTCGGTTTGGATGGACACGTTGTCCGGTTGTAACCCTGCTGGTGACAGCAGCTGCATTTACTCGGTGGCCGGTGAGTCTCATCTATTTCATTGCATATGCGCTTTAACTTTGGCCGACCTTTTCCTCGTACCATGTTTCCTTCCGGAATGAGTTTAGGGCCGACGTACTGTGTTCAGGTCGTCTCATAAGGGATAGGCCAGAACTGTGGTGCATAGGTGTTCGTATAGGCCTCCGATTGTAGCACAAGGTCCACCCACGGCCGCTCTGATAGTGAATACGTCGCGCAGACTACTAGAACATGAGAACATCGGAGATGGAATATCTTTGGTTTGTTGCATGTACACGTTCTCAACTGAAAGTTAACAGTATGTTTATGGCCTCCTTTTCTACCGAGTCGCTCTCCCTTTTCTGTTGTAACTTGGTAAATTTGCAATCGGCGGTTATACGCATCCACTCTATGATATCTGGCTTTTGCAATGCTCTTCTCCAGAATGGCAGTGACCTTGGGGGGGGGGTATGCAAGTCCCTGCTCAGACCTAGCCTCAGAAGACTCTCTTATTAAAGTGAAATACCTGTTAACTCTATGGAAAGTTAACTCGACAAGGGACATGATCGATAGAAACCGAGCTCACTTCAACACATTGTTAAATGTTTCAGAGAAGTTTGTAGTATATATCCCATATCTGCGACCAGCGTCATGGAAGAGAGACCACATAGGAAACGAGACTTGAACAATATACTCCATGGCCTTGGTACATGCCTCACCGATGAAACACATATCAGCTTGAAGTTTTCTTTCTTGCCTTTGGTACGCAGCAGCCTTGAACATATCTCTCACGTCGTTGCTTCGCACGTGAGTCTTCAAGTTAGAAGTTATGTGGTGAACACAAAACCTGTGATAGGCTCGCGACTCGGTGAATCCAACGTTAGGATCATTCATTGCTGCAATGATCCCAGGATATCGATCAGATATAACATAAAGGCCATCTCGTTGCGTGACATGAACCTGAATGCAGCCCAGAAACCAAGACCAGCTGGAAGTGTTTTCCCCTTCAACCAACGCAAATGCTAGCGGAAATACTTGGAAGCTTGCATCCACACTTGTAGCAACCAACATTATTCCTTTATACTTCCCGTACAAGTGCGTCCCATCGATACTGATAACAGGCATACAATGTTTGAAACCGTCGATACAAGGACCGAAGGCCCAAAACACTCATTCAAACACTTCCATGTTGCTGTAGTATACACCATCCACCAGAGCTTTGTGTTTCCATACGACAACGGTTCCCAGGTTTGACTGTTGCAGTGCTTGCATGAAGTGTGGAAGTCTGCCGTAATAACTCTCCCAATCCCCAAATATTTCAGCTATAGCTTTCTCCTTGGCATACCATGCTCATCGATACGGAACTTCGAAATGAAATTGCTTGGAGATGAGTTCCTGTATGAATTCAACTTTCAAGGACGGATCTTTCTGCACAAAGGACTTCACACACTCTGATATTATGGACGAATCCAAGTGTGGGTGATCAGTAGATAGTACTTCAGTGACACAGTTCTCCCGGTGCGGGCCTTTGTACGTGACTAGGGTAAAGCCACGCGAGTGCTCACTTGATTTGGTACCCTGTAGCATCCAACCACATTTCTTCTTGCACCGCAGATGAAGGACACTCTCATTCGATGTCACTGTGGTGTAGAATTGATTCCTCTGTATAGAATACATCTTCACCATTTCTTGAAGCATTTTCTTATTTTCAAAATACATGTCCTTCTCAAATTCTCCCCCGGGAACAAACAATGTATGGCTACCCGATTCGGCCCAATATTGATCAACTTCATAGTTCTCGTTTACCTGACTGAACCAAGGTAAGGGAATTCTAACCAGGGGCTCGCCAACTTTCATGTGTGCAGGTTCAACATCCATGTTCTGAAATCCATCTTCCTCCTCTTCGCTCTCGGCCTCATCATTTGTTTCCGCATACACATCATACACAGACAATTCGTTATTCACAATAGTTTCAAGATGATTTGGCACAAGTTGAGACGGTGATGCTTGAACATCATCTTGCATAGGCGAATAACTATGTAATTGCATCGGTGAAAGTGTGACGGTGTTTGATGTCGAAGGACCAGGTTGGCCGGTCATTGCCACATATGCCCCCCCCAATGTACAGGTGAAGCTATATGAGAACTAAACGGCATGTGAAATTGATCGTCGTGCAGCATTCGACTGAAAGATCCCATCCCATATTCAGTTGATGGAATGTCGTGTGAGGGCACTTGGAAGGACTCCGTGTTGTATCCGGAAATATATGTAGATTGTTGTTCTGGCCGAGTACTTTGTTGGGTACATATAGGCACCATTTCTATATATATCTCAGCGGGAACACCCTTCATTGCAACAATGCTCCTCAAAGCTTTCAAGTGTTTATTTGTAGAAACAGGTAACACTTGAACCCCATTGCCAGTCTCAAACCTCATTTTAATGTTTAGTTCAACATTCCTTGGGTTTAAACCAATGAACCTCGTTCAACAAAACATTGAAAGTCATGTTCGGTTCAAGTGTTAGTGGTTCCATATTTCCTCCACTATACTCGACACGGGGTCCATCAAACAAAATTTCACCTCCCCACCGGCATAACAAAACTACATTTTGTGCAGCCATATTCTACATAACAACCAAAACACATTTTACTTAAAGACACTAAATCATCCCTAAATCGCCATAATTAAACAACAATGTAGACATACTTTTCAATTTTCAACAACTTAGTATCACTAAATCACCATTAATAAACAATAATGTAGGTTATCACAATCACTCAAAAACTAACAATTATCAACCATTATCAACAATTACCAACACTAACAAATTAACATTATCCAAACTATTATCAACACTAACAATTCAACAATTACCAACACTAACAATTCAACATTATCAAGATTTTAACCACAATTCCAAATTATTAAAAATCAATAACATAAACCCTAGATTTTAAAAACCAAAGAGAGATTGAGTAAATACCAAATTCGAGGTGAAGTGAGGCTAGATTTTCGAGGCTTTCGGCGGCCGATCGTCGGAGTGAGACGGCGGTGGAGGTGGCGGCCGAAAGGAAAGGGTCTTGGAGAGAGATAGAGAGATTAAGTGAGGGAATGAAAGTGTTGGAATGCAAAAGGGAGAAGCTCGCCCTCTGTTATAACCGCAAGAAACGCTGCCTCAGTCAGCGTTTTAGGGTATTTGCGTTTTTTTTTAAATTTTTTGTAAAACTATAAGTTACGAAATTAAAAAAAAAGTCAACAGGTAAAACGCTGTCCCAGACAACATTTTACAAATTGAATTTATTTTTAAAAAAAACCAGGGTATAAAACGCTGTCTAGAAGCTTAGTTTGGAAAATAATTTTTCCCCGAGTCTGGTTTGCAAAATATTTTGCAAACAAAGCTTAGTTTGGAAAAACGTCGTAGAATTTTATCAAGTCAAAGACTCAAAGTCCATAGGCAGGTAGAGTAGTTTGGATCATGTTAAAAACCCAAAACTACCCTCCTATTTTGTCTTATATAAATGGTAAAATAGACCCGGTTATTAGGGTTTTGTAAGTGTTGAGACTCAATTACATTCCACGAGTGCGTATCAATTTATCTCTTTCTCTCTCTACCATCATCAATTTTCTCTCTCCTCAAAGACGATCTCTACGCTTATTCAAGGTTATTATTCTCTCTCTTCTTCATCTTTGTTACCAATTAATCAATTTAGCTCTACCCGGATATTGTGCTTGTTTGCCAAAATTTATGGTCTTTATTTTGCATATTTCGGAGAATATTGTGTTATAAGGTTTTCAATTTTACATTTTAGTAGTACCGCAGAAAATCTTGATTAGGGTTTTTGTAAAAGGTTTTATTTTGCATATTTCGGAGAAAATTGTGTTATAAGGTTTTCAATTTTACATTTTAGTAGTACCGCAGAAAATCTTGATTAGGGTTTTTGTAAAAGGTTATAGATTACGTATAAAGATATCTATTTTGGTATATTATCCGATTTTGGTATTAATTTCGGCACATTTGATCATCGGGATGAAGAATTTGATTAATACTTTGTTTTAAGTATGCTGCCCTGTTTAGTTGTTGTGGCCTTGTGGGTTTGGGGGACAAGTTCATTGAAGAGTTTTCGCGACATTTAATGTATTTAAGGAAAACATGACATAGATTATGTACTGGAACTGAGTTTATTCGATCTCGATTGGTGAACTTAATCTTCAATTAGATTGTCTCTTTCATTTTAATTAGGAGATGTTGAGGGTAGTTGCAGCATCCCATGTTATGCTTGTGTATTATTTGCCGCGTGATCTTTTATTCACCAGTATTTTTTCAAAGGGATTTGATATAATATCTGATTTCTCCAAATTTAGAAAGGGTAGATAGATGATATGATATTAAATTGGATGTATGATTTCATTCTGGTTATGGGAGGTGACACACAAGCATTCGTGGTGTTTTTTTTTTTTTTTTAAATATTTTTTTTTTATTTAGTGTGCTTTTGTAAAATGTTGACAAATCTTGCAACGTAAGCTGTCTATTTGGTTCCTTACAGTAGATTGGATAGATGAGTCCTTTTAACTTATGCTTTCGTAGCACTTGTTATTTTAGTATTTTTCGCTTTGTTTTGTAATGTAAATGGACTTGTTACTCACCAAGATATTGTTACCTATTCTGGGGGCGCAACAATACCATCCTTTGAAGATTAGCAGACATTTTGTGGATCTGGGGGCTCGGTTGTGAATAGGTGCGAAGCATTGGCATGGGCTGATTCTTTTTTTATCTAGTCTTTTATGTGGCTTATTTGGTATGGAGAGAGAAATTTTGTTCCCTCCCTTATAAACTAACAGTCTTGTCTGTTTAAATTTTAGGCAGAAAGTTGGTTCACCTAATGGCAGGACAGAGAAATAATCACGGTAAGCGAGCTCATTCCCTGGATCGTTCTGAGAATGGTAGGAATAAACGAAGAAGTTCAGGTGAAGATCCTTTTTCAATTGGAACAGATGATACTGTATACCGCTACTTGTGCCCTGCAACAAAAATTGGAAGCATTATTGGCAGGGGAGGGGAGATTGTCAAACAATTGAGATTGGACACCAAAGCAAAGATCAGAATTGGTGAGACTGTGCCAGGATGTGATGAGCGGGTCGTGACGATTTATAGTGCGAGTGAAGAAACAAATTCCTGTGATGAAATGGATTCTCAGGTTTGTCCAGCCCAGGATGCACTCTTTATGGTGCATGACAGAGTGATTGCTGAGGATGCAGGTGCTGATGATGAGCCTGAAGGTAATCAACATGTTACTGCTCGGCTGCTTGTCCCTTCTGATCAGATTGGATGTATTATTGGTAAAGGTGGTCAGATAGTTCAAACCATTCGTAGCGAAACTGGTGCTCAGATACGGATTTTAAAGGATGATCATTTGCCAGCATGTGCCCTAAGCACTGATGAACTTTTGCAGGTAATTTGAGATACTATATTGGCTTACTGCTGTTATAGAACTGTTTTTGCTAGATTCATCACATTAGGATTATTTTTGTGGTCCAAATGTGTGTTTTTTGCAAGTTAAAAATTAATCAATTTTCTTTTTTTCCCCCTAATTCTTTACCAGTGAAATAGCTTGTATTAATGTTTTTGTAGATGATTGTTGTTTTACTTTCACCCTTTTCATCTCTCATCCCTCTATTGTGTATGAATCTGTGTGTTTTTTATATTAATTATCTTGTGTGTGTGTTGGAAAAGCAATTTGGTGGTGTTTTTTATATTCATGTTTTGTCACTTGATCAGGTGTTCTTTAGCATTAAAGTCTGGCAATTTTTCTATTACCTATTTACTCCTTTAAAATGCTTTCATGTGCTGTAGATATCTGGAGAAGCTGTAGTCGTTAGGAAAGCTTTATTCCAGATTGCTTCCCGTCTTCATGATAATCCTTCACGATCACAACACATGCTGACTTCTGCTGTACCTCCTAGTCTGTATCCATCAGCAGGCTCACTCATTGGGGCACCTGGTGGTGCTCCTATTTTCGCTCCTATTGTTGGTTCTTATGGAGGATACAAAGCTGAGAGGGGAGATTGGCCTCGTTCTGGTTACCCTTCATCGAGGGAAGATTCTTCAATGAAGGATTTTTCCATTCGTTTTGTCTGTCCTACTGCAAATATTGGAGGTGTGATTGGAAAAGGTGGTACTATCATAAATCAAATCAGACAAGAGACTAGAGCAGGTATCAAAGTTGATAGTTCATCTACTGAAGGTGATGACTGCCTGATAACAATATCATCGAAGGAGGTAAGATAATTCTACGTGTATGCTTATCTCTGGGGATGATTTATTTTAATGGCATCTTTATATAATATCATGTTTGCTGAACAGTATTTTGAAGATCAAGTCTCTCCAACAATTGAAGCTGCAAGGCGCTTGCAACCCAGATGTAGTGAGAAGATTGAGAGGGACTCAGGAATTATTGCATTTACAACCCGTCTCCTTGTGCCATCAACACGTATTGGCTGCTTAATTGGTAGAGGAGGTGCTATTATCACTGAGATGAGGAACATTACAAAGGCTAATATCCGCATCCTTTCAAAGGATGATCTTCCAAAGGTTGCAGCGGATGATGAAGAAATGGTGCAGGTAAAGAAAGCGATGTGGCAAATTGTAGATATTGCTTGTCTTGTGATAAGTGATAACACTTAATTGGTTGGTTGATGTTAATGAAACAATATCTTTGACCTGTCAGATCTCTGGTGACCTGGATGTAGCTGAAACTGCTCTTATACATATTGCGTCACGATTAAGAGCAAACCTCTTCGAAAAGGAGGGGCAAGTGATGCTTCCTGTTCTTCCTTATGTCCCCCTTTCACCTGATGATCATGATTCCATGCCATATGACGGTAGAGATAGTAAACGACATGGTCGTGGGCTTTCATACTCAGGTGGATATGGTGGCTCAAATGATTTGTCCTCAGTTGATCACTATGGTAGCTATGCTGGTATACAGGTATTTTTGTTGCCTGTTCCACTTAGCTCTGATGGGTGTTAACCTAGTAATTTGGTCGTTTCACGCATTTTCAGTCCCTGAGACTTGACCTATCACATCTTTCATTTTTCTTGCATCGTATATTGCTTGTTAATCTGATCTGTTAATCTTTATTCTTTTTTGGGCTATGGATAACACGTGATAACATAATTTGCAGAGCACCGGAAGTGGGAGTAATTATGGTGTTTATGGAAGCTATACATCAGGGCGTAGTAGTTCAGGGTAAGATTGAGAATTCTTGTATATTTACTTGCCTTTATTTTTGTTCTGGAACATTTATAATTAAAGTGCAATACACTTCAATGTGTGAGTTTTATTTCCTTAATAAGTCCTTACCTGCAGTTGCATCTTTCTTTTGTTGGTTTTAGGGAGGGGAGAGATGGGTTTAACTAGCTAATCTGTGGTGTAGAAACTCTTGTTATTTCATGAAGATAGAATGATTGAGACTATCCTTTTGTTAATTTGTTACTGAAAACTGAGGCATAATGAAATTTTATTATCACTACAGTTTGGGAACATAATACTATCTATGTATAAACCATTGTTGTGATGATTTCTATGCCCTTTTGAAAATTTCTAATATGAGATTTTCCTGGCAGGTTATCTGGTCAGGCTCCAGGCTCCAGAAGGAGACCATATTATTAAGATTAACAAAGAGGTATCTTCAGGTAACTGTTTCCCTGGGTTATGTTATCCAAAATCATACTTGTATCTCTAATCTCTGGTAATCTAGAGTTGGGAAAAGTTTGCTTAACCTAGGTTGAATCCCTGTATAGAGTTGTGATACTCATGTTTTCCATGTCTTCCTTTCCATTCCCGTTAAAACAGCTGAAACTTTGAAGCCCTGAAGCTTGCTTCCTGCCTCCTTTGACGAAGCCTCCTGCTTAAACCAGAAGACCAGATCAAAAGGGTTTGACAAACATTTGGCCAACCTTGATGCTTTTGTCCAGGAGACCAATTTATTTGGAGAACTACAATATCAAACTTGCCATGTCCATGATACCAAATTTACCAAGCTCTTTCTATGTTTCCGGTCCACTGAACCTATGTAGCCACAGTATGCCTTAATTTGTCTTAGTTTGTTCTGCACTGTTATTCAACTGTTCGAAAACGTTTACCGCTGTAACTTTTCATAGGGTTTGAGTTGATTATTTTTCCATCTTCCTATTTGTTTCCCAAAACTTAGTGCTGAGTGTTTTCCCTTGAGTTGTCATTGCACTTTAATACCCAGATCATATTCTAGAGATAGCCCTTGATGTTCTTATAATTCCTGTAGTTGGGTAAGGTATTGATAGTTTGATTAGTGCTATGCTTCCAGCATTTATCTCATTGCTGCAATCATTTACCTTTATTCTTTGTGCCATTTATTCGGCTTTGTGCTATTTATTCGATATTCGTACTTATTTAATTGTAGGTTGCTCTTGCAAATTTATTAACATTTTGTCTTATTTATTTTGCTAGGTTTAGTCACCTGAAAGATGGTTTTCGTTCTTTTTTGTTTTTAAAGAGGGGTGCAGCAATTGTTTTATACATGATGTCTATTAGAACTAATAGAAAAGTTCTGTTACTGTTTTATATAGCTGTACTGGGAAGTGTAATGGAAGTGGGTAGGTTTATCTACAACTATAAGAGATCCAATACTAGCTTTAGAGTGTGTATCTGTTCTACATTAGGGTTGTGGCCTGTGGGTCAATAGTATGATGATTGATGAAGGTAATTTAAGCCTTGGGATTTAATCTTCTGAAGTGGGATTGTAGATAACTGTAAATTCCTGTGACAAAAGCCTGAAGTTTGTATTTAGAATCTAGAAGGGAGATTAGACCTCTGTTTTTGTTTTTGCAACCAAGGGAATTTTGTCTCTAGTACTTGGGGCGGACTATCTTATCAGTGGTGTGTTCCAAGCTCATAACAGTTGCTTTATTTCATCTCCCTTGCTCTTTCTCCCAACTCCATTGAACTCAGTCTCTTTTATAATCCTCTGTACATACCTCTCTTCTCAGCCTTTACCTGCTTAGAATCTACCTTGGGCCAAGTTGTTATTTTGCATGATAGGGAATTTGAAGATATTATGATATTGACCTTTTGGCACTTGAGATATAAAGGTTAGCTTGTTTGTCAAGCTCAAGTAGGATCCAGGGATTAAGACTAAATCTTCAGACAAGTGAGATTTTCAATGAAAGATTTTGTTTGAGTGGTGTTATTTTGTTGGTTGCTTAAGGCTATGTTAATTTCTGCTCCTTTTTTTTTTTTTTTTTTTGGTTGTCTTGCCTGTGGATTACATATTTGCTAAGGGTTGTAGTTTTGGCTATTTATCTGCAATGGGTATGCTGTTCTGGCTCGTTTGATAGATGATATAAATGGGGGAATGAAAATGAGTGACTATTTTAAATCTTCTGCCAACGTACATGGTAAAGCTTTTTCCACCCCTAAGCACCTCCCTCTAATCACTTTCAATTAGCACTCAATACTTCCTTTAAAGTGATTATCATCCTCATTTATTATCGCTTACCATACGAGTTGCTAGTGCTTAAGAAACAAATAGTTCATATGTTTGCTAGAGTTCCCTGCCTTTGCGTAGTATTTGCTATTTTGGCAATTAGCATAGCTGGCAGTGCAGCTTTTTTAGGGCTTAAGTTTCAGATTTGCTTGACTGCTTGTTACACGTAAGTTGTGGAAGTGCATCAGTGGAGAGATATAGCAGAGAGATTGGGCAGCAATGAAGTATATCTGAAACAGAAACCCACAGAAATTCGTTCGATCGATTGCGTTGAGAATGTGATGCTGTGAATAATCAGGGTGGAGGTGATTTTACTGGCTGTTCATAGCAGCAGTTTAATTTGTATAAATATACGGATGTGTAAAATGTAATTTTGTAATTTATGTTTTTAAGTGAATTGCTGTTCTAAACAAGGATAATAAGAAACTGAGATTAATGTTACCTGTCTAACTTTGAATGGTGCTGAAAAATGTTACTTATCTGATTTCTTTTATGAGTTTATCCTAAAGAATGTGTCGTTAACTTGGTAGCTGGTGTTATTAGGTTAATTTTTCTATATAATTTGGATAATATAGACTATAATTCTAAGATTAAGTTTTTACTACTCGTAGTATTCACAATTAACAAAGGTCAGATGAAGGGCTGATAAGTGATAACTGATGTATGTTTAGGCTACTTTATTTTTTCACACCTCACTTGGTTACACCTTTTCCAGAATGAAGTTGGCCCTAATCTTAAGTGTGATATCCAATTATATATTATACTTCCTCAATTCTTCAATGCATAACTTAAGTTGTCGTTAATAATGAATGGTTTTTCTTTTTTGTTTTTTGTAGTAAAAAATCATCTTAGATAATTAAAGATTGTAAAGGAAAACGAATAGAGCAAGTATGATGGTAAAATATGCGGAGTATTATGTATGACATAATTCCTAAATTTTAAGTTGAATTATATTTCCACAATAAATCAATTTATGCAATATTAAGAAACTACTACCAAATTAAGAGAGAGGAGCTTAGGGCAATAGCAATAGAACAAACCTCTAAGTAGACCTGTTCAATGAATCAATGGGCTGGATTTGGGCTGGGTTTGGCTGGGCTTTTATTAAATCGGGCTGGACCAGGGCTGAGGGTAATGTGAAAAGGGCTGGGCCGGGTTAAGGGTCATTAGGTCCAGCCCATTAATCACATACAATTTTTTTTTATTATTTTTTTTATGCAAACTTAAAATTACAAGTTAAAGCTTAAAGGGCCTTATAGGGCCAACTATGATTTAGTCAAGGGCACAAGGCCAACTATTATTTTATCCCCAGCAAAATTCACAAAAATTCACCGCCAAATTGAATAAGGAACTCTCTAACCTAAAAAAGAAAATGAAAATTTGTTAGAACAAACCTTTTAAAGTTAGGAAAAACTTTATAAAATATTTTTGGCAAGTTAAAATCGATTGTAAATTTTTTTTGTTGAAAACAACCAAGGACCTTTAATTCACTTAATTAACCTTTAATTTCTCTTATTTCTTCTAATTACCCTCTAGCTCTCACTTAACAATTTCATAAATAATTTAATTTATATATTTAAAAAACAAACAAAAACCACCGCTCCACCGCCAATCAGCCACCCTATCCCTTTCCCCTTCCTGTGGAGGCAGCACCCCTCCCCCATCCGAGCCACCGCCTAGAATCCCCACTCTCGGCGACCAATCTCTACCACCGGCCGACCTACCTCCCTCTTCCCCTTACCCCAATTGTGACCACCCATTCCCAAACAAAATTTTAAACCCAGAAATTTAAAACAATCAAACCCAAAAAAATAAATGCAATAAAGTTAGCAAAATTACCCAGTAATCTTGACAAGTTGCCCATGTCGGGTATCTGGAGGTTGGAGGCAGGAAAGGAGCGAAGGAATAATAGAAACGAGGTGTTACGCCGGAAGGAGTCCGCATTTTCAGATAATAAAGGCGGCAACAATGGCGGAAAGAGAAAGCAAAGAAAGGAAAAATAGAGCATTTTTAACTTCAATGAGGATTAAAAGGGAAACTCCAAAAGCAATTATAAACAGAAAGATTAGAATAAAAATGGAAGTTCTTGGATTGAAATGTAATAATGTGTAGTTGCATTCGAAGAGGAAGAACAGGAGATGACATTCATCACTTTTACAGTTTTTCCCTCTTTAATTTTCTTGATTTCTGGTTTTTTTGGGTGCTGTTTTTGTTCCTAGGTACCTTGTTTCTGGAAATGGTTTTTAGAAGTGCAGGTTTTCTGGAGGGCAGTCGGTGTTAGGGTTTCATAGAGGGGTGGGTGGTCGCGGCGAGGATAAAGGGGAAAAGAGGGGGGTTGGCTCAGCGGTGGAGGTGGATCGCCGAGGGTGGGGGTTCTAGGTGGCGGCTTGGATGGGGGAGGGGGTTTCTGCCACGGGAGCGGGTGGCTGATGATGGGGTGGTGTTTTTTTTTTTTTTTTTTTATAAATTTATAAATTAATTTAAATATTAAATAGTTAAGTGAGAGTTATGGACAATTAGAAGAAATAATGGATAAATAGAGGTTAATTGAGTGAATTAGTGATCCTAGGTTGTCTTAAACAACAAAGTTTTACAATCAGGTTTTAAGTTGAATTTTTTTTTTTTATAAGGTTTTTCCAAACAAAAAAAGTTGCTTTATAAGGATTTTTCTGACAAATTTTTCAAAAAAAAAATTAAATAAAATAATTGAATAAAGAACCCCAAGTAAATAGTACTCTTGAATTATTACAAAGTATCCACCTATAATAGTTACGGGACTTTAAATTAGTGAAGTATCATTTGCACTGATTACTCCACCTACCCCTTCAATTTTTCAAACTCTAAAATATTTTTCATTCCCCAATTGAATTTAGTAGATAAAAAATAAATAAATAAAAAAAAAACTTTGATATTAGATCTAGAAGTGAAGATGAGGAAATTAGAGGTGGAAGGAAGAACAAAAGAGAATAAAAAGAAAATGAGAGTGACGGCGACAACGACAGTCAGAGAAGCAGAGGAGAGAGAAAGATGACCAGGTTAAGAGAAAATGTCGTGATGTTTTTTTATTGGTTAGCTCATGCTCTTACATTGACTTCAATGGGAATTAGTGTACTTGTTAGTGAGGAGAGTGAGAGTAAAGCATGTATAAGAGACTTGACAAAGTATAAAGCTTGACCCACTAAGGGCCCGCCCCACTCCATCAGAAGCCCACATAAGATTGACCTTATTATAGCCCGCTCTATTTATTAGGGCTGGATTAGGGCCTTTATTGGGGGCCCGTCCATCTGTGCAGGTTTACCTCTAACGGTTTGTTTACTTGCCACAACATCATCATACACCCAACAAAACTTTCATAAACTATATATAAACCTGTACAAAGGTTTATTTATGGGACCCATTGTTAATATAATTCATTAAATTCACCTAAACAAAAACAAAAAGCAATGATTATTAAATAAAATAATTTATGTTGATAAATTGATAATTACGTATTAACCAATATTTAAGCATGCAATTTTATTAAAATGATTATCGTTTGAAGTATCTAAAGAAATATATCAATTACTATATTTTTAGACAACTTTTAAATGAATCTTTGTGTATCTATACGTGTATCTAAAACGAACCTTTGTCTTAAAAATTTTGGGGCCTCATAATTATTAGACAATTAAAAATGCATATTATTAAGGTTACTTATTATTACAACGTATGACATTAATGCATGAAAAAAACACAATTATACAACAAATCATAACTAATATTTATTGGTCAAAATTTCCTCCAAACTTTGCCCATATATGTTCAACCAAATCAGCTCGGAGTTGGTGATGAACTTCACGATCACATAACTAAACATGCCTTTGTAGACTCTGCTAAAATTGTTGAATCGACCCATGATTTGCTGGAAATGGAGTAGAGGATCATTCTTTGTTCCATTCGCTTATATTGTTGTTCCTTCATCTTCAACAGTCATATTATGAAGTATAATACATGCTTACATTATATCTTTGATTATGTTTCGATGCCATATCCTACATGGACCTCGTACAATTGCCCACCAAGACCGGAGAACACCAAATGCTCTTTCTACGTCTTTTCTTGCAGACTCTTGCTTCTGTTTTAATAAACTCTGTTTGTATAAACACCTCTTTGGATCTTCAGGATGTGAAAAACTTTTTACAAAAGTTGCCCATTCTAGATAGATACCATTAACGAGATAGTATCCTTGAGCATATTAGTTGTCATTAACAGTGAAGTTTGTAGGGCAAGCAAAATTTATACAACGCTTGTTTCGCAGTAGACTCACCCAATCTTAAATACTCATCGTAACTATTTGGCGATGTACCATATGCCAATTGACGAATAGCAGGAGTGCATTTTTGCAGGGGTTAAACTCCTTGCCTACTAGCCGCATCACTCCTCGTTTGGAAGTATGGAAAGTGACACCCAAGTGATTGCACAATGTGAACAAATAACTCTCTTCTCATTCAAAATCTTCGTCGAAACATATTTGCAGGGTACATTGAATCTTCAGAGAAGTAATCATTAAAAAGGCGCTCATACCCAAACCCACAATTCTGAGGTACCTCAACTCTTAGTGGTTGTTGACTCCTCGAATGTTCTTCCATGAGCATCATCACTTGTTTATTTGTATCATCATCCAATTCATTAACTATAAACTAGACAACAGTTTGGGAAATTGATATATCGTGTATTATGCGTAATTTTAGAGTCCTTTTAGTTAGTTTTTGAGTCTAGTTTAGTTGATTTTGGTTCATTTAGGGTTGATTTGGTTTAGTTGCAATGACTTTGTGCTTTATGGGTATTAGTTTCGTTATTTTTTATTTTTTATGTATTTCAGGATTAACGGAGCTAAATGTTACAAATCCAAACCGAGGCTCATGAGGATCAACGATCGAAGCTAAGTTCATTTGGAGCAATTTTCAAATCAAGCACGTCCATGTTGGATAAGGCATGAACGTGCCTAGTCAGGAAAGGAAGTAAAGAAGCCAAGAAAAGAAGAAAAATGCTCAAGCACGTCCGTGCTCGATGGAGGCACGTCCGTGCCCGGGCAGGGTGTCCATGCCTTATGCGGGCATGGACATGTGGATGCGAGTGAAGCACGATGCTGTGCAGGCACGTCCGTAACAATTCTAGGCACGTCTATGCCTCATTGATGAAAAAGTTTGTAAAGCTACTGCCTCAAATTTGGAAGGTGGCACGTCCGTGCCATGAGAAAGACATGTTCGTGCCTTTACGAAGGATGTCAAGGAGCTAAATGTAGAGGCACATCCGTGCCTATATGCGGGCATGTCCGTACCCCAGCAAAGAAGACTTAGACGCATGCGGTCAGGCACGTCCGTGCCTTATTTTGGCATGTCCGATCCGTGCATGAACGTGTATTTTAGGAAGTTTAAGATAATTTCTATCTTTTGTCTAGTTTTTCTATTTGAGTATAATTACTTCTTTATTTCTTTAG